CTTGGGCCTGCTCAATGTTCAGGCTTTTGCGAGAGTTTGCCTGGGTTTGAGATCCTTTGTCTGATCTCGTGTAGAAGAGGTCTTGGTCGATATCCTCGCTGGGTGATTTTGAAAAGGGTTGGGAAGAGGAGCCGAATCGCGACACCGATGTAGCTAGGATTGGGAGGCCTTTGGTCCTTACAGCCTTGATGACGGAGGAGGATTGGCCATGGAGCCTGGCTTGAGCAAGTCGAATATCGACATGTTTCGCTGCGACATTCCGCGAAGCACTGAGCAAGGCAAGAGCATCAAGTATATGCCTGCCGGACATGGTGGTAAACAAATGAAAGGAGGGTCAAAGACCCTTTCTGATGGCTGTTGAACACATGGAGAAGCACTCGACGTTCTTGGTGGTTCTTTGTATGAAGCGCAGCTGGTTGGAGAAAATGGTCGGAGCTTGTGACGTGTGGACCATCAAATCACAGCTGGTCTCCATAGATCAAACGCATACCCTATCTGCCTACATCCTCTGCTCATCGCGTCATAACTAACCTTTACTTTTCGTGACTATGGTCATCAAGGTACAGCCTAAGAAGTGAAATCTTTCTGGCTGATGATGCTATGAAAGTGGACGATGCGGAGGCTCTCCGCGCCCGAGTCCTGGAGCTCGAGGTCCAACTGCAAACCACTAAAGCCCTCCTTCGACGCATTGAAAGGTCGAGCTCAACATCAGCTTCAGATCCTCGTGGGGATGGAGGAAGCCTGCTGTTTCCTGTGCCCGTCACTCTTCCAGTAGGGTCCTCGATGCACAACCTCATGCTTCTCTCCGACTCAGCCCTTCCTCTCGGATCATTCGCCTACTCCAGCGGTCTGGAATCCTTCCTGGCTCATATCAAACAAGAAACCCCTGCACCTGGGCAGACAAATCTTTCCCTTTTCCACAAATTTCTCAAGCTGTCTGTCCAGTCAATGGCTTACACAAACGTTCCGTACGTGCTTGCTGCATTTCGTGATCCGTTGGCGCTCATGGACCTCGATAACGATCTTGACGCGAGCACGGCCTGTAACGTTGCGAGGAGAGCAAGCGTCGCTCAAGGCCGCGCACTGTTGAGTGTTTGGGAGAAAGCCTTTGCTCCCACTGCAAAAGTCAGACATGAAGAGGAAGGGGAAGAACTCGAAGGTATCACTGCCCTTGAAGTTTTTGCTCGAGACTTGAAACTTTCAGCTCTATCTCCTGGCGGACTGTCCAGCAATGACCCTCACCAAATTGCCGCTGTGAACGGACATCTTGCTCCTGTTTGGGGAGTCATCTGTCACACCCTAGGCCTGAACCTGGAAGAGACATGCTATCTGTTCCTTCTCAACCACTCCAAAGCGATCATTAGCGCTGGTGTCAGGGCGTCCGTCATGGGACCTTATATGGCACAAAACATACTGGCATCCAAAGAATTGCAAGAGCTATTAAGTGGCTGTTTGGAAAAAGTCTGGCTGATGAGGCCGGAGGAGGCGGGGCAGGTAGTCCCATCTATGGATCTCTGGGTGGGAAGACACGAGTTGCTTTATAGCAGGATTTTCAATTCATGAATGATGGTCAGCCACTGCGTGAAGGGATTTTGGACTCATATTCTTCACTGGCCTGACGAGGTTTGAGACGTGTGCGCGGTGCGGCAGCGACGCGTCTCTCTCTTTCGTGCTTTTCAGTGAAGACGATGCCCCTTTATGAGTTGTCAGGTAACAGAACCAGATTTCTTTCATCAGCTGCCGTTCACCCAAGACGGTATTACCTTTGACACAGAATCAGCAAACTCAACACCGGCGCGATCACACAATCAACCCATCACAGACTCCAAGAGCACGGTGCATCTGAAACGAGTGAGCGACCTGGGCGAGAATGGCGCGGAACAAGGCGACACCCACGACCTTCATGGCGATTCTTCTCCTCTTCTTCGCCGCGTCAACCCAGGCGGTAAAGGGATATCAACAGCCAAACACCCTCATCACCGTCACCCACCCGCCACCGACCATGACTACCACCACCGCGCGTGGTTCTAGCAACAACGAGCCCTCCAGATGCAACTGCGAACTCGTGAGACGTACCACGAATGTCACGCCGCCGAATTGTATGGATTACTGTGTGTGGAGATGGGCCTGGTATTGAGCAGCCAGCTCGATGTGTGAGCGGAAGCTGGACTCAGAAAGAGCAAATGTTGGTGGACGGCAGAACAACATCTCATTGCCGGTCTTGGGTGCTTGTTGAAACGAAGGGACAGGGGCTCCGTTGGCTGGTTGGGAGACACGAATGGAATCTTTTTTTGGTGGTGCAGCAAAGGGACAACATGTGGTGATGATGGTTGAATAGGACACCTGCAGGGAGCAATCATCTGGAGGCCTCAGCAAGACATCGCTACGAGAAGAGAGGACTCATGGATAGTGGAGCTGTATATCACAAAACGCGAACACAGAACATTAATGGCATTGTGTCTTCCAGATCAAAAGGCATCTGGTGCTCTAGCTGTGTGCAACTGACAATCACAGTCCACAAAGACGATAGATGATAAAGACGGCTGAAGCTGTCAAGCCAGCCATCACTGATCGACCTCGTCAATCGGGCCAATTCTCTCCTCCACCCCCTCAACCGGCCTCCTCCCTTTTTTGGATTGCCGTCCACGGCCAGCTCCAGCTGATTCTTTCATCTGACGCCGCGGTTTCTTCCTGGGATTCACCGCTGCGTGGACGACCTTCTCTGCCAAAGCTGAGATACGATCTATCCGACCTGTGCTCGGTGCTTCTGGCGAAGCCAAATATGCCCCCGCATCTGCCTGTCGTCCCTGGCCTGCTAGCCCGGCCTCGTCGAGGTCCGCGTCGTCCCTCTCTGTAGATGGCAACGGCACGTCCGCGCCTGCGAGATGGTCAACAAATCCCTGGTCTGCTCTTCTCTTCTCATCCTCCTCCCTCAATTTCCGCTCTTGTTCCTCCAGCTCCTTCATTATATCTTCTGGATTCTCAAGCTCCATGTTGGTCATTGCCACGTAGTCCTCTATACTCACGGTTTCCTTAGCCGCAACACACTGTTCGACTCGCTCTGGATCCGCGCGAAGCTCAATCAAGTATTTCTTTTTGATGACACGCCGATCAACGTCTTCCGGAAAAAGAGCTGCAACCATGGTAAAATCCGTGCCGAACATCCGCAATCCTTTGTAGAAGAGGCTGGTCTGATCTTCGTCCCAGCGGCTCCCGCGCCCTCGACCTGCATGCTTCCCCAATGTACCTGAATTGACATATTTGTAGATCCGGTCATCCTCGAGCGCAATATTTGCATCTTGAATCACCGCCTCTTCGACACCAGCGCCGAACGCGACTTCTCGAGACTCCGCGGCCACCACAATTTGTCCATTAACAATGATCTGCTTGGGAACGGCCGCTACCTCGGGGCCATTGTGCTCTTCCTCGTTTGCAGACGCGTTAACGCCCCCACGAGCAGCTTCCCGTCGCTTCTCAATCTCCTCTTTGCGTCGCTTTTTGATCTCCGGCCAGTTCTCCTGCATTCGCTTCTCTGTTTCCGACTTCTTGCCTATCTTGTTGTCCTTGATGAGATCTGCCATCGAGACCTCCTGAGGGTCTATCTCTAGCTCTTCTGCATTCTCTGGTGTAGCTAGGCGAGGTCGGCGCCGACCTGTCTCGTCTGGGCTACCACGGATGGCATCTTCAACGACTCTTTGGGCTAGGTCCTGTACTCTCCTCGATCTTGACTTTTTCTTTGGGCGTCTCGCCTGTGGTTGTGCAGCATCCTCAGCAGCACTCTCTGCTGTTTCCGCTGCTTGCGACACTGAACGAGGCGCTGAGCGCGGTTGTTGCGACCTTGCTCTGTTTTCAATTGAATTTGCAAGCTCTGACACAGCAGCTGCTTGGGTTGTCGCGTCTTGTAACAACGCGTCCGATGTACGCGATTCACTCCGCCTAGCTCGCGGGCTGGTCCCGAGTATCGGTGGTGTGGCATCGCGTGGGGGAGGGGTTTGTGATTCCGACTCTCTTGAATCCTCGACCGTATGAGTGGTCTTCTGCCGCTTCCTTGAAGCATCCGGTCTCTCCGCCTCTTGGGCTGAGTCTTCCGCTGCTGGGGAAGCTAGCTCCTGTGTAGTTCTTCGTGTCTGCTGGATTGGGGGGATCGAAACCGAAATCGAGGGAATGGCACTTTGTTGGGGTTGGCTCTCGCTTACGCTGGTGGAACGAGTGATTTCGAGTTCATGACTTGTGTGCCTAGGAACAACTACTTCAACGGATGCTGAAGGACCTCTCTCGATCGGTGTTTCTTCGTTTTGGGGTGGTACAATGAGGGGCTCTCCTGCTGTTTCTATCGAGCTTGCGATGGAAGGTATTTCGATGGTCTCCTGAACTATCTCCGTTCGTGGCTCTGGCTCCCGTTCGTGACCCTGAACTGCTTCGTCAACAAGTTCAACAGCAGGACTCACAGTCTGACTCTCTGGCGCCAGGGATGGCAGAGCAGCATGTCTGAGGGTATTTCTTGGGACATTCTTTCTCGGGCCCTTCGGAACGATCTTCTGCCCCGGTTTTCGCACGACTGAACTGAAGGTTGACATAATGAGCGTGATGTTCTTTATGCCCGCCGGGGCGTACTAAGTTCCCACACGCGCTCAAATGTCCCCTCTTTGTTTGCTCCAGGTTGAGGGCGCAACTCCCCACCACGACTCCGGTGGCATGGGTGGCAGGTTTGATCGGCAAACATGCCAAGATCCGAGGGCCGCTAACCGGCTTTGTCTACAGTGTCCGCAGCGACTCGACGTCTTCATTCTTCTTTTTGTCCTCGCCTTTGCGCAATCTCTCTGTCAACAACTCAACAACTTCATCGGCAACCTCTTATCGCGGCGTAATTTGCCGTTCCTGCCAACGCGGGCCTTCCCCAAGGATATTCACTGCCTAAAAGCAGCGGCCCTGGTGCAGCAGGACTGATGACGGCCATCGAATCACTTCCCCTTTCCCTCTCTCAACAGAGTCTAGTCAAGATGGAAGAGCGTAAAAGACCCTCTCCTTATGATTCTGTAGAATCCGCTCCACCGCTGAAGAAGCAAGCCACTTCTGCAAATGGCGCATCGAAATCTCACAAGGACGATGACATGCCCTGGAAGGACGATCTGGAAGTAAGCCTATCCTCCGCTCTCCCCCTTCAACATTCCGAAATGCAAACTAATGTGGATTCTATTGAACAGAGATTTCAGAAAGATGCGATATGGCGGCAGATGCAGGAATATAAAAGAGAGAAAAACACCCTGGAGGCTCAATTGAAAGAGATGCGAAAAAAGGCCCGATATCATGACGACCATCTCCGGGTCATTGATGCTTGGTTCCAACAAGTTGTCGATGAGGTCAAAGTCATCGCCAAGGTGGATGACGATGTCGATATGGACTCAGGGCCCTTGCCATCGGCGCTACTTTTTTCAGATCAAGAACAATTTGAAGAGCACCTTCGCAATCGCTCAAGGCAGATACAAGATGTGATATCAAGATTGTTCGGTTCCACAAAGCCGGCATCGCCTGATGTAACAGACTTGCAATCACAGGTCGCAAAGCTGTTGGCTGCCGAAAAAAGTCATCTGGTCGAGTTACAGCGTCTGCAGTCAGAGAAAGATGATCTTGATCACCAACTAGAAAACGCCTCTCTCAGATATATGACGGCCGAACGCAAGATTGACAGGGCAAAAAGTGTAACGGTCGCCAAATTGGAGAAACAGGCTTTATTAGGCGCAATTAAGCCCGCAGCAGAGGATGGTGGCCCAGTTAAGAGAGAAGAAAGCACGCTCAATGGGACAACAGACAATTCTGAAGAGCTGGCGGAGCTGGAAAAGGAGTTGAACAAGACTGTCGCAGCCTCGGAAAAGCAAAAAGAGCAGCTGGACAGGTTGGAGGAAGAAAATGCAAAGCTGACCGCACAGCTGACGGAGCTCCAAACAAAATCAGCGACTCTGACGGATGATGACTATGCTAAAACCGAGTTATTCAAGCAACTGAAATCGCAACTTGAGGATACCATCAAGAAAGTCAATAATCTGGAAGCCACCAACACCGACCTCAAGGAAGAAGCTACTAAGTTGCGATCGGAAAGGACAACATACCAACTTCAGTTAGAAAACGAGCAACGAGTGGCTATAGCAGAAAAGGAATCTCTTTTGGCGGCGTCAGAGACCAATCTGGCCAGGATCCGGCACAGCAGGGATGAGTTACTGGCAGACCAAGCCGTTAAGCAAGCTTCTTTGGATCAGAACCAAGAGGCTGTGAAAAAGATTACTGAACTGGCTTCTGCACAAGAAGACCGTATTCGGGCACTGGAGTCCGAAAATGAGCGGCTAACAACTCAAACAAGCGAGATGGCGGTGGAGAGCGCAGAGCTGGATGCTTTGAATGTGGAAGATTTGCGGGCCAGGTACCACGAACTCGACAGGAAGTATAATCTCCTCAATGGTGAGCTCGTGTCCATGTCAACAGCATTCCAAAAGACTTCAAAGATCGCGAGTCAAAAAGTCTCAGAGTTTGCTGCCATGGAGGAGAAAGTCTTGAAGCTATCAATGGACAAGACCAAAGCGGACCAGAAATTCTTTGCCGCAATGAAAAGCAAGGAAACCCAGGCCGGTGAGATCAGGACGTTGCGACTGCAAAACGCCAAATCGGCAGAAGCGATCGCAGCGCTGAAAGAAGCTGAAGCCGCCACGCGAGCATTGTTAGCAACGGCAGACAAGCAACTTTCCGAACTGAAGGATGCCCTCGCCCACAAGACCAACGAATATCGAACCATCCAACAACAGAACATCACCCAAGGACTCGAAATCTCCAGATTAAACACCCAAATAACTGAGCTCAAAACCCAAGCTACTGCAAAAGACGCAAAACTCGCCGCCGCAACTAGCGCTTGTCGTGCGGCCGAAGTTGAAGTGGAAGATCTCAAGTCCTCGCTCAAAGACACGCGCCGAAACCTTGAGACATGGAAATCCAAATCAGGACAGTCCGAGCAATACGAGATATTGAGGCAGTTTGCATACTGCAATATCTGCAAGCGGAATCTGAAAAACACCGTCATCAAGACGTGCGGGCATACATTCTGCAACGACTGTGTTGCTGAACGGCTGACGTTGAGGGCGAGGAAGTGCCCAAATTGCGGGAAGGCATTTGGCGCGAACGATCATATGCGAATCACACTTTGATCCATTCATCCGTCGCTTGATGAGATTGAGAAGTGCTTTTTTTTCTGTTCAAAGACAACTGTATCATATCGACATCCAGATCCAAGACCAGGTCCATTGAAAACGACCTTTGGCTTGAGACCTTCGGCATCCGAGCGTACTCAACACGGATTGAGATTAGACTTAAGTGGGCGAGCATGCCCACAATGTAAGTGTACGAATATTGCATCTCACGACATCGAACTTCCCCCGGACGATTGGCCAACAACGGGTGCGTGGTTTTAACCAACGGGCTGAATGCACGCCCGGGACTGTTTGTTGGAAATTCTGTTGCGGAGCTGGTCGGGTTTTGGTAGCTGCTCTTTCCGCCGATTGCAAATCCAGAGACTCCTCCTGGGGGAGAACGAGAAGGCGGTGACAGAAGTATGATATGGGTGGAAAAGGCCCGTCACTTATCCTTTCATTGACGGGTCCCTTCTGGTCGTATCTGGCGATGTACCGCTTCTCCCCCTGTCTGAACTCGAGCGCTCTCGGTTCGCTGATACCTATATTGTTCTGCAGGTGTGGAGCCGTTTGTGCAAGGCGACCGATTGAGATATAGCTGGTTTCGACACGATGGCTGAGGGAATGGATAGCAGACCAGCAGATACAGCTCATTTCTGGGCGGCGGACGGTTCTCAGAGCTGACCTGAAGTTGTCAGGTAGTGTCGAATCAAGAAGAAAAGACTGCCTTTGAACCCATAAGAAGGTCCCGCACAGTGGACAAGATCAGCTTTTGTCGCTCTGGTCCTTGTACTCGTCATCGTCTGTAAGCGTTCGATCCTTGTTTATCCAGCCTGGTTCTGTGTCTCTTTTCAATCATCTAGATCCATCTCCCCCTCCCGCTTTACATGCACCTGTCCTCCTTCTCCTTTGCCTCTTCGCCCTTCGGCCTCTCCCATCTCTTTATCTTGGCCTCCGGCCTTTCTGGAGATGTCGACTTCGTTTCCAGGTCCTTGTTCATCGTGGTCGGCGCGGTCGTCAACTTCAACATCAGCGTCGCCCTCGCCATCACCATCGCCATCGCCATCGCCCTCTCCCTCTTCTCCTTCTCCATCACCATCACCATCGCCTTCCCCGTCCTCTTTCTCCTCGAACCCCTCAAGCGGCGGGAAATTCAGGTGTTTCCAGTCCTCGATCTCTTCGATGATGCTCTTCAGCCGGTCGCGGATGCTGTCCACCGCGAAGCTTCCCAGCAACAATCTTAGTGGCGGATAGCGGCAGTGGCCGAGCTGCCAGACCAGTTCGGCGGCCTTGACGACCGAGGTGGGTTGGTTGGCCCCCATCCACTGCAGAGTCCGTTGGGCGTGGGCGGCAGGGGAGTCTTTGGTCGCATACGGCGATGACGGGCGGGCGACTTTGAAGTGGCCGAAGAGGGCTAGTTTGTTCTGCTTTTGATTATTTTGTTGTTGCTGCTGTTGTTGCGTTTGCTGGGGGATTTGTCCGTTGGTGGTGGTCGTGGTAGTCGTCGTGGTCGAGCTGGGTAGATCTGGCTGTGAGGGTGGGAAAATGTCATTGTCGTCCCGGCGCATGTGGGCCGGCTCAACGAGGGTGAGTTTAATGTTGAAGGGATCAACCTCGTACAGCATACTTTCGATCAGGCCCTCTACGGCATACTTGGTCGCACAATATGGTCCCAAGCCAGGGACTCCGAGTGCGCCGCTCGTCGAGCTGAATATCAAATATCTCCCGTCCTGGCGTTCCCGGAAATGGGGCAGCGAAAGTTGGATGATATTCAACGTGCCCATAAAGTTGGTTTCGAACTGATTGCGAATTTCATGCTCATCCTGGTCTTCACAGGCCCCTATCACGCCGTAGCCAGAGCAGTTTGCGACGACATCCACTCTGCCAAACGTTTTCATGGTCTGGTCAATGACCGAGGCCACGCTGGAACGTATTCGTACGTCACATAACAAGCCCAGATATCGACCGGGTATGTCATGCCATTGCTTCATGCTCGCTAGGTCATCGTGGAAGGATTGGCCGACAGCAGCGACGATGTCGTTGTGGGCAAGGGCAGCCTTGGTCACGGAGCGGCCCATATGTCCTGTTGCGCCGAAAATGAGCCATACTTTCTGTTGTGGAGGATTTGCAGGAGAGGGTGGATCGGTTGTGTATGGTAGAGAGAGTTTGCCGGCGCCTGTTGTCGAAGGATGAGGAGATCGACGAGCCGTGCTGGGTGATGCCGAGCGAGTATCATTGGAGTTGGTGCGTTTGAGGTCATCCATCTTGCTGGATGAAAAAGGATGATATTGGGCTGTGGTGGGTCTCTGAAAAGGTTCGTACTACACCGTCGAGGGCATACCAACACAAACCACTGGGGAAGGCCTGAATCGGATCGATACCAAAATCACATAGTACCCTGGACTCGACCGCAAAACCCATTCGAGCAAGACTTTTGGAAGACACAGACGTAGCCAATGTAGTTCAGACCAGTCGCTGACTGTTCAGGAACACGCCGCTCGACACCTTTGCCTCCACAGCCGACCTCCTGCGGCGATACTGTTTTGAGCACGGAAGGAAGCTGATGCAGAGGTCTAGCCTGCAGATTTCTCGGAGGTATTTGAGCGGGACTGGGAGTAGGTAAGCATATGTCTCAATCACAATCACCCAACAGTGGTCAGAAAGATCAGTTGTCGAAGCCCTGATAGGCACGAAGCGGGAGAATAATGTGGGACCTTAGGAGTCGTCGAAGGTGCTTACCGGGTACCTCAGGTAGCTGCGCATCAGAAGGATTCGGGTGGCATTCCTTCAGTCGATAGCGAGACCCCAGTCTTTGACGCCAACAGCTCAATCGTATCTATCGAGACTAGCCATGGCTCGATTCCTCCCAGGGTCGATATAATGTCCAAATCCAGACGAAGCGCTAATGTGACAGAGGTAGGGAAAATGGTTTGATAGTGATGTTTCGCTTGAAGTGGTATTTGAATTGAGATGTCAGCAGCAGTGGCGGTGGGTACAGAGCAAAATATGTGATGGGTTGTACAAAGTAGTAGAAGTGAGAAATGCCGTCTGCGAGCCTATGAAGTCGGGCTTAATGGTGGTGACGGCGATCCCTTCTTTTACAGTTTCGCAAATCCCCACCAAAGGTCCAAAGTCATGGGGCACCACCGACGCCGCCCATGGCGCAAGAGGCTCGCGTTGCCCAATCTGACCAAAGACAAAAAGATTCTTCTCAACGTGCAATTGCCATCAGGATTGTAGGATTTGGCTGCAGAAAATATTTAAATCCCGAGGTTCCTCCTCTCCATCCACCGTTGAATCATTGCTACCCCTCCTCAACATAGCCATATCGTCCTAATTGCTGTGCAATCTCAACACTCATCTCGAACCCTTGTTACTCACAGCCACCATGAAGGCATATTGGTACGATAATCAAGAAGTGCGTCAACTTCCCCAAGCAAATTCGGTCTTTTCCCCAATGCTAACTGCTCTCACCAGGGCGACCAGCGCCTCGCGCATGACTCGGGCCGCACAGTTGATCCCTCTTACCTCGCCCAAATCGGCGTCCTGTACCACCACTGCCCTGAGCTCTCCTCGGTCGACACTATTGCAAAAGAAAGACACTATAAAAACCGCGATGAGATCACCGTGTCTCCGCAAGCCATGGGCGATGTGTATGAAGACAAGGTGAAAATGTTCTTTGACGAGCATTTGCATGAAGACGAGGAGATTCGCTATATTCGGGACGGCGCTGGTTATTTCGATGTTAGATCAAAGGATGACGACTGGGTCAGAATTCGACTCGAGAAGGATGATCTCATTATTCTGCCTGCGGGTATCTACCACCGGTTCACCACTGATGAGGCAAATGTGAGTAGACTGGAACATCCTATAAAATTGTGATATGATGTGGACAGCGACACTGACGGGAGTTATAGTACATCAAAGCAATGCGGTTGTTCCAGGACGAGCCCAAATGGAAACCATTAAACCGCGGTGCGGACACGGACCTCAACGAGCACCGTAAGAACTACCTGCACACCAGAGATGGTATTTCTGTGGCATAACGGTTGGTTGAAGGGAGGGAGGTGTGACCTCTGAATCATCGAGTTTTACGGGCATCACTCGACCAAGACCAAAACGTTGCCACGATATAATAGCATGAGTTCTAAAAATTGATGAAAACGACTTTGCATAAACACTTTCTTTTTTTCTTTTGACAAGAATCGGCGACCAGTCTGGGATGCATACACCCATTTCCACACTGGGTCTTGCAGTGTCTACGACACTGGTATAATGTTGTATTGCAGATATCCATCTTAGTAACGAGCGGAATTTTGCAGATCTCGCCGTTCTGTGCCGCAGTATACACATCATTAACCGTAAGGGGGCAAATGTCTAGTAGTATTCTAGTGGTCGGGCGAAGTAGCATTCTTGCAAGGCTGACGTTGGATCCCGGGCCGAACATCATTGGTAACACACCGGAAAGACTGGATAAGTAGTAACATCGTTGCCGGTTGGGTAGTTTGACAAAATAAGGCTTTGGCTTCCTGGGCCGTCTCTCGCTTATAGTAGCACGCGGAACAGTGTCTCTGCACAACTGCTCATTCTGGGAACCAAGTCTGAACCGAGAAATTTCGATGGTCGGCAGATGGTGCCGCAGCGCTTAGTAACGGGGAGAATCGTCAGAAGGTAAATTATTAGGTGGTGGCGGCCAAAGCTGGGGATGGGGAGATTAATGCCTCGAGGCTGTAAATGGGTGAAGAAGGGCGATTAGGAGGAAATAATAACGTACATACATGTACATGTATGAGGGATAAGTTCGTGGGCGCAGGGTTGGATGGACGAGGGCGCAGGAGTCCTTCTCCCACCATTTCAACCGACCAGCCCTACAAGTCAATCAAGTGCAAGGAATATCTCTACTCCAGACAAGTGCCCGATCAGAAAATGGAGTGCCTAAGTCGATCAGACCATTTTCCTGCTTCAGTTACGCCTGGATGTTTCGCGTTCTGGAGGCCAATAATGAGGGGCCAGTGCCTATAGCAAGTGTCTCGTCTGCCATGCAAGCCCTGTTAGTCGCTAACTTATGCTTAGGCATGCCTGCACGCACTTGCATGGGTGCCACCAATGCCTATTAGCCGATCGCTGTTAGTTCTGCTTGCATTACTCGTGCAAGCTGGTCACCCGGCGCCTATACCTGTAGTTTTCGTCTGCGCGTAGACCACACACACGCACACACACATGCAGCCTCAGCTCTTGTATCAGAAAAGCCAAACCAGTCAACTTGGTAACATCAAGCCCACTTACGGCACCTGTTTCCGCCCCTCCTCTCCAGGATTCCCAGGCCCGCAGAAACCTTCTGTCAGTTCCTTAAAGGCTCCGGTCTTCCAGACTGGCGGACTTTCTTTCCAGCCTACTGCTGACACATCGTCCATCTATCACTTCACCGTTTTAAGATCTTATTGAATCCTTCTAGAATTCCTGACGAGATTCTTACACATCACTGAAACACCTCAACAGCGTCAGCTTTGTTTGCGCCACCGACAGAGACGAGGTACTTGACTGTCTTCGTACCTTTTGATCCTGGTCTCGCTGCGACCCCGCGTTTTGGATGCTCCGAACCACTACACACAATACGCGGCTTACTCGACGGGCGACCGCAAAGTGACAGGCGTCGGTGAGAAGCGTTAGATGAGCAAGACCACTGCAAAATGGCGTGTAACGCCTCCACGAGTCAGTTTATGTTTGTCGAGTACTCGAAGCCCGTCGAACCGGTCAAGGGCCAGAAGAAGCGCCGTGGCGGTCCCAGTGAAGTCCGCGCGGTAAGCAACCATCTCACTTAGAAATCCGAAGCTGTCCAGTACTCGGTAGATTGTGAAAGAAGGAGTCTTTCCACTCAACTGCTTTGTGGGAATCGGCTCTTGACGGTGGCCGTGCTGACGCTCAAGTGTAGCACATCACCAAGAATTACCACCGAGCGCTGAGAGTCAAGCGCCTCGAGGCGCTCAAAAAGGGACCAGATGGCATTCCAGTCGAGAAATCAAAATTAGAGCCTCGCGAAAGTCCTGCGGGGGATACGACGGAAGGAGATGAAGCGCATTGGGAGAAGGGCGGAGGAGGTGAACCATCGTCGCGCGAACCGTCATATCCTTCCTCGACTCCTCCCGGGGAGGATGACTACAAGGATATCGCTCTCCAGCTAAACAGTGCTCACCGTCTTCAATCTGCCCTCGGCGAGGGTCGAGTCGATCCCTTCGACGCCTTCCCAGTTCAGGGCGTGCCCGTCTTCATTCATCAAGTTCTCGACCACGTATGTACTGTCCTCTCCAGCCCGAACCCCCGAGCTCCGGGTTGCTATCTCAGGATGGCGTCTCCCATCTGAATCGAATCGATTACTGACAGAGTTGCCTTGACGTTCCCTCATAACAGGCCTTGTCCTACTCCTGGCCCAACACCGTTCCAGTCAAACGTTCTCTTTCCAATATGCACCCCGTCAAGGCCGCCTGGTTGAAGTGCGGTATGGAACATCCTGTAGCATTCCACGCCTTTGTCTACGCAGCGTCGTTTCACGTCCTATGCGCGTACAACGGGCGGGAGATCAGCGACTCGGCCCCGCTCCTCCGACTGTCGCACAAGGTCGAAACGATCAAGCTCGTAAATGAGCACTTGCGATCGCTCAGCCTTTCTTCCTCATCCTCGGCCTCCTCCAAACGAAAGGGACGAGACCACAATAACGCATCGAGAGAAAACAGAAACGCAAACGAAGCCGTTGCGACGACAACGGTCCCCACTGATGCGCTGGTCATGGCCGTGACCATCATGAGCATTCACAACGCCAGGGACGACACCGTCTACCCAAAAGTCCACCCTGTGTCGCCTATGGCCAAAGTCAACAATCTCCACGTCTACGGCGCCATGATTAATGATGAAAAGCATATCCAGGGCATATTGCTCCTGGTCAGTCAGAAAGGAGGATTGGAAGGCCTGGAGTTGTACGGGTTGGCTGATACAATGCAATTGTAAGTTCAGACTGACTTCTTTGTCTACCATATACCTCGGTCCCGGACGCAAAAAGGGGACTGGTGATTCTGACACATCAATCACAGGTGTGATTTGTATTTTGCTTCGAAATACGTGTGCAGCCCGAACTTCCCGTGGCGTCTGCCCACAAAATCACTCGTCTCGACCGGAAAACATTCACTCGACCCCGTGGCGATTGACTTGGATTCCAAACTCGGCGCAGGTTTTCGGTATCTACGTCAAAGTCCGGCCGGCCGACAACTGC